GTTCTGGCTAATTCTGGAAAAGACAAGGAGAAGTTCTTCCCTGGTCTTATAGCTGGCAGAAAAATATATTCCAGAACAGAAGAAAACCTCTGGCACATTCATTAATGTGTCCTTTAGTTGATTATGAACAGTTGCTATCTGACAGTGTTTTACTAAGAGTGTTTTGCCAAGGACTGTATACACTTGCCTTTGAAATTTCTCTATTGGTAAACAATCTGTTTTTATGCATAAATACTTGGTGCAGCTGTCTATAAATTTTTAAAGGGACTCTATTTAGTGAGACATTCTCTTTCTTGCAGGATCAAATAAGGAATAGCTTAACTAGGGCTTTATGTAGAGAACAAGCTTAGAAAAACTTTGAAAAACACAAGACAAATAAAAGTATAAAGTAGGAGATTTGAATCATTGGTTTGTTGGACAGGAGTGAACTTACCCAAGTGTTGTCCTTTGGCCCTTGTGTCAGGGCTGGGGATGTGCAGAGGCAAAGATGATTCACAGAACTAATCAAACCAGTATCTAGGAAGGTAGGGAGGGAAGGAAGGCAGAGGAAAGAAAGGGGAGGGTATATAACAGATCTTTAAAAATTACTGTACGGAAAATTGATTAAATATACATGTCTGGAGAGGGGTTTAGTGAAGAAATGCTATATGTTGTTACATTTTAAACTTTTACACTTTCTAAATTTAAGATATTATAAAATGGAGAAAAAACATTTGCCTCATTAAGGTAGGACTTTAACATGAATGTATTTGAATAATATTTATCCAGAATTCAAGGTAGAAAGCAAAAGCAAAAGCAAAGCTTGTCATCACGAAGAGAAAGAGAGGTAGAGTTTTGTGTTGAGTTAATTTTTAGGCTATATTAGTTTATTTATAAACATGTGAAATGTCCTTTAAAGCCATCCTATCAGAAGGCTGATAATTTAATCTAAATCTACTTTCTTGGTGCAACATATTTTTTAGGGCCTAATGGGCCATTTTTGGAGCTATCATAATCATGGACAATTGAACGACTGAATCATCTTACTGCAAGTTCTACATGATCATACATTAGTTGTTTTGTGCAAAATATTTGCCATCTCTTTTTGTTGTTATTGTTTTTTTTTCTTTTTTCTTTTCTTTTTTTTTTTTTTTTGAATTTTTAGGTATTTTTGAAACAGAGTCTTACACTGTAGGTCAGCCTGGCCTTGAACTCACTATGTGGCCCAGGTTCGTCTCAAACTCCCAGCAATCCTCTGGCCACAGCTCCTGAGTGCTAGGATTGCAGTTGTGTAGCGCCATGCGTGGCTTGATATCTGCAATCTTAATTATCCAGATCTGTCATGTAAATAGAATTCTTCCTGACTTCTGGGCTCATTTCTAATAGTACAATTTAACTCAAAATTTAAGAAAAACACCACAGTTAAAATATTCAAGTGAAATATGCTGAACCCAATTCCCAGTAAGGTGTTACATAAGTATTTAAATCCACAGTGACAACCCAGAAAAAAATAATTCATTTCTTAAGTGAAGATTTCTGTAAGAGAAGGACAAGAACTGTATGCCTATTGAGCAGATAAAGCCTAAAGCCTAAGCTCTCAGTGATTGGTTATTATTTTTATACACATATTTTTCACATCTAAAGTGCATCTACTTTTCTTAGTTTCAGGCAAAACAAAGGAATAGCCATACTGACCACTTTCTTAACCTGTAAAAAAAGTCCATATGGGAAATTTAAGTACCCCGTTTACACTGTACTAATTCTTTCACAAAATTTTAGATGACTTAAATAAAATTCTCTAGAAGTCAAACTTTTGAGTAGCCTCAAGCTCTCAGAATATCACCTCAACCTTGAACTCAAAAGGTCCCTGAAAGTGAGTATTGTTAATCATAAAACCCTTATATTCAAACCAAATCATTCCTGTTCCAACTGGACTTACTAACCTGCATCATATTCTGCTGTTAAACAGAAGTATTTGAGGAATCGCTCCAATAATCTCTATCACATATGCTCTGATGTGATGATCTACGATTTGACATCAGCGGTGTATATATGATACAATCTATAGCACTGCCTACTAACCTGACTTCCTTCCCTCAGTGAGTCAGAAGCAAAAACATAAATGGTGCTAGGAAACATCCAGCAATGGAAAAAATACCATCTGATGTTTCCTTGATAAATAAGATGTTTAGAAAGTACATGCCACCAGGAAGTGATACGCATATTATTTTCAGTCAGCTAAGGAAGCTTTAAAGAATATATGTCACCCCCTATTAAATAAGGCCAAGAATTGGGATTTAAGGAAACCATTCCCCCAAAACAATGAATGACCTTGAGGCAACAAATTACAGTTATTTGGAGAGAACCACTTATGTGTAATTATTCACCATTATTATTGCTGGTATTTAGGAAGCTCTTGTACAGAAGCAGGCTCACCTTGCTTCATCTTCCCCCCGCCACATCTTTCTTAACTGTCACGCTAGCTCCTTACCGCCAGCCACTCCACAGCTCCAGCTTCTGAAGTAGGGGGACTGACTCACCCAGTTTGCCCCAACTGTCCCAGTTTTAGCACTAAAAGCCCCTTGCCCTGGAAACCCCTTATTCACAAGCACACCGGGACAGCTGGACATCTTATTCAAGAGCCAGGTGCTCAGATAGCCTTATTCCTCCCGTGCCTTGTGAGGATCGCCTTGTGATTATGAAAAATTTTTCAAGTCAATATAACAACCCTCAGACAGTGACTGTAATAGTGAGACCATTAGGTTCCTTGTTCTAAACTTTTTTGAAAAAAAAAACAAAAGACTCTGAGATCTTGAAAGATGCTGATCGTGGACTGGGCTCAGTGCTTTTCTTAAATGACATAGAACTAGCCTTCCTTCCCGTATACATGAATGCAGTTAAATTGAGGGAAACGGAGCCAATTGATTGAATAGATCTGCTAGCCCTACAATGGATATTTCTGAATGAAGATGTATTTTGTTATTTGCAAGTGTTATCTGAGAAAGTGTTAGTTAAGAAGGTTGAAGTTTAGAAGCCTTGTTTGCTGTCTGTCCATCAAAAAGAAGTCCTCTCTGACAGGAAAAGAAGTTCCAGGCAGGATTGCTTTTTATATACAGATTTAATTAAACAGAAATGAAAACATAAGCAAGGCCTGTAGGCAGTCAGCTGGCAAAAGACTTTGCTATGATAGGCAGAAAGCGTAATGGTCGCAATGCAGGAGGATCTTGTTACACCTTTTACTGCCTGTGAGGGGAGGAAAGCAGAAGAGCAAGAGGTGGTTAGGAGCCTGCAGTCTGGTTAGTAACAGACTTTGTGGTTTTGCCTAGAGACAGGTCTAAGCAATTCCTACTTAATTGAAATTAATCTGAAGCTCCAATTTTCCCAAATCCCCCAACCAGTGTTTAGCTTTGTAATGATTCTATCCTTCACAAGTTGTTCTTGCTCTCCAAACACGAACCAGAGAATCGAGCTGTGCATTACAAAGAGGCAGGGATTCTGTGCTCCTGCTTCCTGTGTGGGGAAAGAACAGAGCACATTTTCGTCACTGGGAGAGGAAATGCAGAGGCAGAGGAGAGGGTGACACTTTGCCACACTTGCCTCTGAAGGAGGGAACGCATCCGAGGAGACAGGAGACAAACCCAGCCCCGGGTGGACCAGTGGGGTTAAGTAAACTTCTGCCCTCTCTTGACTGAGTGTACTGGACAGGGTCTGCTCTGGGGTTCAGCTTTTCCATTCCTTAACTGGGAAGAATAGAAGCCCCATGGGGTTGCTGTTAAGATTAAAGGGGCCTCAGGTGAAGGGAAGGAAGAGAGGAGAGGATTTAAAAAGATTTGAGAGAAGTCTCCTACCTGAGCCAAATACCCGCAGTGAATGTAAACATAGGTCAGAAACATAAACTCATAATAATGATAATACCCAACAATAATAGGGAAAATGGGGCAATGTGATCCAGAGAGGCAGGGAGAGAAATGGAAGGGAAGGGGAAGGGTAACAAAAAGGATCAAGATATGTTAAAGTACATGAACCTGCTCACTAAGAAGAATGTAAACTTCATCTACTGCAAACACATACAAAATAAAAAAGATTAAATGATTTACTATTGGTAAAGAACTTAGAACCATGTTTGAAATGTTCCTATGGGTATTCTGAAAAGAAAAATTATTAATGTGAAAACTATAGCTCAAAAAGCAAATGTCCTCAGTTATTTCCCACTTGCAAAAACACTTTATCCCAAATTTGCTAGAGGAGGTGACATTTTCTCCGAGATCATATATCCTTCAAAACTCTGTGTCCTGAGACAGTATAGATTTCTGTGGCATAAACTGAGCTTGGAAACTGAAAACATCTGAATTCCAGTACTATCTCGGTGATTGATTCACTTTAAAATTCAGTCTCAGCTTTTTCATCTATAGCAGTAGTTGACAAATAATAGGCTGAAAACCAAATTGGACCTGCCGCCTGGAGTTGTGACATTTCATGTGTTTTCACATTGTCTGTGACTGCTTTGGGGCTACAGGGGCATATTTACTTGGGCCTAAAACTGTCTGGTCTCCAAAGCTAAAAGTATTTACTCCCTGGCTTTATGTAACCTATTTTTCAAGTCTTGGTCCTCAAGAAAAGAATAATAATACTCTGATTTATTTTTTGGAAAAATGAATAAAATAATATACAAGGCAAAACCTACATATTGCCAAGGCTCAATAAAGAGTAACTGTTATTACTACACAGACAATTGAAATCTAACCCTGGTACTGTTTATGTACACTTTGCTTGGTTCATTTTGGTCTTTTCTATCCTCTTTCTACCTAGACCATTCTGTCCAAAAACTAAATATGAGCTTGACTTCCTTTAACTTGGATTAAACTAATCTCCCACCCCAGTGCACCTGTGCATTCAATTTCTATGATCCTATTCATCCAAACTCTCAGGGTTTCTGTACTATTGTTTGGGAACATTTGCTTTGCATTTCAGTGTTTCCACAGTAACCCTACAGGGGGACAGACAGACAATTCTTGCACAAATTCATTTTCAATTTTTAATTTTTTATTTAGAAATAATAAAATAAGACATAATATATAAAAATATGTACAATCCATGGTTTGTGCAGTACAATAGGAAGACTGTAGATACAAAAAAGATGGCAAATGGGAAAATAATAACTAACATGATTGGAAGGGCCAGAATTGTTCAACTCACTGGACCCCAGGGCTGAAACCTCACGACATTGGAAAGGAAAGTCTAGTTTGCTGAAGGTTGTGGGTGGGAACATGACTACGCAACACTTTTCATTTCTCCCTTGACATTATGAGACACAGAGTGAAAAAGACCCCACTCTACTCAGGACAAGCTTTTTTTTTACCTTTACTAAATGGCTTACTATAAAATATAAATTCACTTTTATTATTTGTAAAAGGAACATGATTTCAGGTACACAGCTCTTCAAATACACACCGAGAGATCTGGGATGGGACTATGTAGGGAACAAAGGAAATAAAGGGAAGAAATAATGCATTAATAGAACGAAAACCAAGTAAAACAAACTTCCTGTAGGAATTTGGAAATGACTACAGTGCTAGAGTGACATCCTTAAAATGTCTGATTCAAGTATACTCTTAGAGGGATAGAAAACTATTCCTTTCTCAATAATCAAAATAGAATTCACTTTGTCTACCTCTTATTTAAAAATAGAATAACCAGGAATCTACACCCCCCCCAAATATAATACCCATCCAGATATGGGCAAACATTCTTCAAAAGGGAATACATCCTAAGGAAACTCATTAGGGATTTGCTTGCAATAGAGAAGCGACACGTATCTGGGAATCCACCCCAGATATTCAAGGTGAGTCTCTTCCAACGGCATCCTAGTGACAGGTTTGCACTGGTTAAGGAGACCCAGTCGATAAAGACAACTATTTGCAAGGTGAAATGCAGCAATAAATGCCGTGCATTACCTGTGTCTTGGCTCTTGACAACAACAACAAAACAGCCGTTTAAAGCTTGTAACTATTAAAATGCTAGTAACTATGAAAAGCTTTCAAATGAACAGTCCATGCTGAAATAAATAACAGAAAAACATAGCAATACGAACCTTACAAGGCTGGTAAATATTTGCTGAAATCATGCTAACCGGTAGCATATAGGTACTAGCTTTCAGAAATCACTGCACGGAAATTATACTTTCTATGGCAATTTTTTTCTTTCTTCTTCTTTTTTTTTTTTTTTTTTTTGCTTTACACACATCTATTTACATTTGGCTTTAAATATGAAAATATCTGATAAACTTTATAAAATGTACACTTTAAAAACATAGCTTCTGCAAAATTCTCTTGAAAAAAGAAAAACAAACCTGTGCACCAGAAATTTTAGATTTTATTTTCTCCCTTTCAGAAATAAGTCGAAAGATTTCCCTCCCTCTTTCCTGTCCTTGTACGCACCCCCTTCCAATATCCCAGGCCTTTTTAAATGGGAGCACTGTGTGTTTGGGGGGAGGGCCTCCTGTGGGGTCACCCCCCTTCTCCTCTGCATCTTCATTTAATTCACATGTCACTGAATACTCTTTGGTTTGATTACTTTCCTTTGCAAAACATCATAATAGCAGCAGCTGAAGCCCTCAATAGCCTCTTTACAGTCAAAGGCCAAATTATTGTCCATCCTATAAATTCTCTCTTCCACATTTCTTCCAACTCTTTAAACTACTTCCCAAACCTGCCTTTCAATCTGGATTTTAAATGATATCCACTTGCTTAACCTCTCTTTCTTGGTTTCAATGAAAATAACCCATGGATTTCAACCCATCACTGTGGAAGGCTGGAAAGAGCAGAATCTGTCATATTTCTGCAGGCACTGCAATCGTATATGGCTGTCAAAAACCAGAGACCATCACAGACATAAATTTACAAAGTACAGGATTCTAGAACAAGCTGTTTTTTAATGGCATACCAGGATATAATACCACAAGAGAGTTGATTTTGAGACTCCAATTAAAAAGAAAAGTCAGCCACCACCCCAGAATTCACAAATAGGGGACTTTAAACCCAAATAAGAATTCCATTATTGAGCTGGGGGAGAGGAGTTGTTTCTAGCAAGGCAGGCAGCCAGGCAGGAAAAACCTAAAAAACAGTGTGTCCTTAGAAACCTGCTCTAGAGCTTCACAGAAAGTAATGTTTTGCCTCACAGTGGTCATGCATCCACACACACAGAGGGAAATAATCCTTTTGGGCTATTATCACTTTAAGCTGTGATTGCGTTACATGATTTTATGACTATCTTTGATCCTTAAATACTGAAACATTCTCATTTCTGCCCTCTGCAATAAAAAAGAAGCAATCTTCCGCTGGCTTGTGAATACTTGAGCTAAAGTGTTGCATCAAAGAGGCTTGTCTACACCTCCCCACTATCCTCCATCATCATCTGTGGCCTGTTCCCACGCTGAGGGTCTCCCTCCAAACAGACTGATCAGAGAAACAAACCAAGAGGCCAGGCCTGGTATCCTTTCTAAGGTGATGCAAAGTGAGAAATGTCCTAACAGTCAAGGCTATGAATTCAGGTGCAAATGTTTAACTCTACTGCCATTTAACCCTGGATGGCCCCTTTGGGAGGATGCCAGAATGCAGGCAAAGTCCAACTGGGACCTTATCTTATGGAATAAGTGTTGGAATGTGCAAAAAAGGAGAAAATCCCGACAAAGGTAAGAGCATAACGCCACTGCTCACTTTATGCGTTAACCTGGGAGCATTACCAACAGGAGCAAAGGGAAGCCGCTGATCCTGTGTGGATGTGTATAGATGGTACTTTCCCTTTCTTCTTCCTCTTCCGATAAGGAGGGTACTTGAAAAAGACAGAATTTACAAAGTACTACACTTACTAGACTTTGTTTTTGATGCTCAGTTTTCTGAATAAGGTGCAAAACGAACAGGCATTCCAAGGTCTTGCTGAGGTTCAAAGTTACTGTCTCTTGATTTCAAGGCAACCCATGGGGCTTTCTTTTCTTTTTAGTATAAGCTCCATTGTGCAAAAATGTGCATTATCTTTGGTATTCATTTTAGGTAGTCTAACTTAAAATTTGAGATAACCCATTAACATCCTGGAGAGAAAGGAAAAAAAAAAAACCCAGAGGCTACCATTTGGCTAGTGTTACATAATGCCCTTATGTAACCAAAGAGAGAGAGGACAGAAAGAGAGAGAGAGAGAGAGAGAGAGAGAGAGAGAGAGAGAGAGAGAGATCAATTATAGCAAACAAATTACTGGCCTCAAAAAATCAGGCTCTCATTTTGGCAGTTAATAGCCAAATACTTGCCACTTTGCAGTGCATCATGAGCTTTCAACAAAGTTCAACACTGACTCTTAAATTACATAAAAGAAAAACTACACTACAACAAAAATACGATTTGTGTTCATGTAGTTAGCAGCTTTTCAAAAATTAAGGCAAAGTCTTGCCTTGTTATGCCATTAAAAACATTCTTGTTCCCTAAAGAGAAGCATTCTGGATAAGTCAAATACCCAACCAAAGCTTGCCTGCAAATTCAAGTTTTGTAAAAACACAAAACAATACATTAAAAACCCATAACTTATTTTATAACATATATGTGCCCTTGAGTCACATGAAGGCCTGCTGAGTACTTGACTTCAAGCATCAGGCTTACAGTCTTTCTCAAAATCCCTCGTGCTAGCCTCGGTCTCCTGTGGCCACTGCCTTGCCCCACCTCCTGACCAGTACCGTCGTCTGTGTAACTGTTTCCGGCCTCTGACCAACAGACTGTGGAGTTATGTAAATATTCCAGAGAACGAACTGCTCAGTCATATCTCCGATTCTCGCCGTAAGGGCCTGGGCTCTAGAGGTACACTTGCCTGGTTGTGCAGGTCCATGTCAGGGGGTGTGTCTGTACTGGTGCTTTCTGGAACTCCATTTTCACTGTCGTCTTCCTCTTTGCTTGTGAGGGCCACTTCATTTTCATAGCAAAATGAATTAGCATTTGAGAGGATATATTTCTTTTCTGCTAAGTCTCTGGCACTACAAAGGGGAGTGTTGGGTACTTCGTAAGTTTTATGAAACCTCGAATAGTCCACTTTGTAGTAGTGCTTCTCCTCAAAGAGCACTGGCTCGTAGCGGTGTCCCCAGAGGATCTCGTTGGCCAAATAAGAGCTACGGCACTGTGTCGTCATGGCAGTGGCTTCCACCATGCCTTCTAGTATCACAACAATTTCAAAGTCTGCATTATCAATGTCCTGCTTACTCAAATCATACAAAGGACTGTCTTCATCTATTTCGTGAACAATAGTGATTGGGGACACCAGAAATATACGGTCGATTCCACTGTCAAAGCCAACGTTAATGTCTATTTGATCCAGGGGGATGTACTCCCCTTCAGAAGTAATTCTGGATTTGAGGAGCTGTGCTCGAACGTGCGCTTCTACCAAGTGGCTTTTCCGAAGGTTGCCGACTCGCCACATCAGACACAGCTTGCCATCTCTCATGGCGATCACAGCGTTGTGACTGAAGACAAGGGTCTCATTTCTCTTCTTCGGCTTTGCCATCTTCGCCATGACCGCGCCAATGATAAAAGCATCGATAATGCAGCCCACGATGGACTGGAACACTACCATGAACACCGCAATCGGGCATTCATCTGTGACACACCGGAAACCGTAGCCTATGGTTGTCTGGGTCTCAATAGAAAACAGGAAGGCGGCCGTGAAGCTGTTGACTTCTGACACACAAGCTTTGCTCTCCTTAGATGCATCCAGGTCTCCGTGGAGCAAAGCTATCAACCAAAACACACAGCCGAAAAACAGCCATGAGAGAACAAAAGCCAGGCAGAAGATAACCAGCATCCACCGCCAGCGAATGTCCACACATGTAGTAAAGATGTCAGCAAGGTACCGCTGTCCCTTCTCCCCGACGTTGATGAACTGAACGTTGCAGTGGCCATCTTTCTTCACAAAGCGGCTCCTGCACTGTTGTCTTGTGTGGACTTTGCTCTTCCCATTCCCAAAGCCATTGGCAACTGCCATGGTGGCCAACTTCATGCCGTCTTCTTCCGAAGACACGATGCTATAGCGGTTGGTTCGCACACTGCCCATCGCTTCTGCTGTGGACGCCAGTGCTTCTGCTTTGGAAAACAGTCTGAGTTTTTGTAAAACCCTTTGGAGAAACAGTTTTGAATGTTCAGTGAGGACACACACAAGCACAAAAATGAGGAGAGATGGGTGTCTCCAGGAGCCTTGGGATTCTACCAAGGTTGGTTTACTGACATGCAAGAGTCACCTTAGCAACTCAGCTGACATCAAGAGAGCATGTCCTGCAAGAAAAGAGATTTGGGGATTACAAAAGAAATCTTTCTCAGTAGAGTCCTACTGTTTTAGCCAGCAAGTCCTATCCTAACAAAAACACAGAATCAGCTATAAATATGTTTTGCAATAAACTGTAGGGGTTTTAATGTCTTTGTCCCTCAGAAAGATGTTTTCAAATTTTATTGAAAAGCACAGAGTTATTAAACAGAGGTGAGGTATCTGTACTAGTCATTCAGTAAAAATTTGAGCTCCCCTGTCTTTGACTTTCTTGCCACTGAATTAGAATATTCTGTTCTCCAGGTCTGCCTCACAGCTGCACTTTCTTTTCTTTTCCCTACTTGCTAGGTTCTCGAGGTACTAAACAGAAGAATGACTTTCTGAGTTCAAGAGCTGTCACAGAGCTTTCAGAACCAGGACATGTCTAGACCACATTTCATACTAGCACAGCCTCGAGCTTAACTAAGTTACATGTGTATCCTGGGAAACCACTGGAGTCCTGATGACAACATGGATACCAGGAAATCTAGACTATTTTGTTTCAGTGATCCAACTGAGAACACAGCCCCTAAAATTATCTGACATGGATGCCGGAAGTCCTAACTTCTGGAGACTGTTTGGACTTGCTCCCACACTGCGCATACTGTAAGCAGCCACTGCAGAAATGCCGATAACATCTCTGTTAGTGCAAGTGATTCTGACTCGAAGACACAAATTTGCTCTGGGGGATAGACAGCAGTTCTGTTGCCTAGCAATAAGAGTCCTGAAATTCTCCAGAGATGGGCTTGCCGTGTGTAATGACAGACTAGGAAGTAAGCACCTTTGTGCCAAAGGACCAGGTCTTTAGCGGATTTAGATAAGGCAGTCACTCCTTCTATGTGGATCCAATGCCGTGTTCCTTCCAACAGAGACAACTTTGTAATCACAGTAGCTCATAAATGCCAGCCAGCTAACTTTCGCTTCGAGCCCAGTTGTTTGCCATGGGTTCCTATGGGGAAGGCACTCACCCTCACATAACATGAGCAAACAGGAGTTTTCAGCCTTCTCTTGTTGCCTCATTCTCCCCTAGGTAAAAAAAAAATGAATAAATAAAAAACTACTGCTTTAACTTTCCATCTGGGCTCCAAAGAAACTACTCGTTTCCTTGTCTAACAAATACCTGTGAGAAAATCTGCGGTGTCCCCCTTAACAAACGTATATTAACAAAGCTGATATACCTTAGAACTAAACAGATAAAATGGCTCTCAACCTTCCAAACAATCAAATTTATCTCTTGCCATTAAGGGGGAGAATGAGCAGCACGTAGGGAGGATCAGAAATCTGTTGAAGCTCTGATTATGAAACCAGCACTTTTTCTTTCTCCCCGCTACATCGCATGAAGTTGAAGCAGTTAACAGAACCATGCTCAGCTGGGCCAGCCGCAAACAAGTAAAGCAAATCATTTGTCCTGGTGTCGTGCATCCCTTTAAAAAAGAGGGAAGGTGCATTGTCTTTGAAAATGCCTTGCTGCAGTCTCTTGACTTCTCCTTCTATATCCAAGTTATTATGCAAGAATGTGCCCCAACACATTTTTCCTGAGATTAGTCATCTGTGAAAATTGCAATGTGTGTTACATTTTGGCAGCTTTTGACACCTAAATGATGCCCGATTTGAAAGTGCCTTTGAATTACTTTATAAAAAGAAGTTACTGTGCTTTCTCAACCTTCCACCTGCTCAATGTTTTGTCTGCTTTGCTATGAAGTTTGCACTTGGACAAAAAAAAAAAAAAAAAAAAAAAAAAAAAAAATCTTATTCTTCAGGGTTCTAGATTCTGGACATGGAAAGAATTCTTTCTCACAATGATTTCAGCTTCTCTGGCTCACATGAAACACCAAGCGTTTTCACTCAGAGACAGACCCAGCAACACAACACCAAACGCAGGTGTAGTTTACCAAAGGGGTGGGAGCTCTTTAAATCATGAATTTATATTTTTGAACTCTGACTGATTTTGGAAACTTTTATCATAAGGCTGAGACCATGAAATTTCCTTTTTATGAACTGAAACAAGCCTTTTATCAGTGACCATTAGGGACCATGAGTACACAGTGTCAAATTTCATGGGGCTTATTTCTGTACCACTGCTAGACTGAAATGTAACAACCACACGAAATCTAAAAGCTGAATTATGACTTCCAAAAATCTTGACCCCAGGACATTTGTTTGAATTCCACAAATCACACAGTAGCAACTGCCTATGAATTGCTCCCCACATTTAGAATCTTGAAAATAGCCTGTATTGAGCGACTATTATTGTCTTATTTCCAATGCTAATGACAGAATTTGTTGCACATGTGGAGTATCATTTAGAAATTTTACCATTTTTCCTGGAAAAGGAAAAAGAGGAGTTTCTTTTTTTTCCCCTTTGGCAAAATGGAAATTTTTGTCACTTCAAACAGATATGCCCCCCAAACAGATGTATGCGTGTATGTTTGTGCCCAGACTCTTGTGCATTAAAAGTGTTGTGGACTTGGTGATGCAGCAAAAGTCTAGAACCTGCCAAAGTCTGGAAAGGGAGCTGTCTTAATCTACCAGAAAGACTGCCTTTACTGTTAACCTGCAACATGTCCCTGTGGATTTAGACAAGCAGAAAATTTCTTCTCCCACTCCTCTCTCACCAGAAACGACTAACTCATGAACATCTGGAAAAAGCTCTTGTAAAAATAAAAAGGGCTCCCATGCCACTTTATTCCAAATAATATTTGGAGACAGAGTTGATTAAGAATAGATGGGAACATTAAATGACTCAACTTTTTGATAGCTATTGCTCCGAAGAAGAGATGTTTGACTTGATGAATGATGTATAAATTCCCCTTTCAGCTCAGATATTTAAAGGCTGGGATTTAAATTCAGTGATATACAGATAATCATTTTTACCCAGGTCATAACTAACGTAGAAAGTATTTCTGGGAAATTGAAAGGCTACATGTAGTGCTGTTCACGTTAAGACTATTTATAGACTGATCCAAAATTAAGCATAAGCAATGGAAAAAAAATAGTTCAATGCTTCAGTCCTAGGTAGATGCTAAGGGAGAGAGAGCCATGGAAAACACAAGGTCGAGGAGATCACGTGGTACCACGGGGGTCATCCAAATTGATTTTACTATATAGGGGATCATTCCAATGGGGCAGGTAAAAAACTTGGAAAAGGTAATCATGAAGAATAATACGAATAACATGTTGTATCATATGGTCTTGGTATACGGTGAATAAGAAAGTTTCTGACTAAGAATAGGAAATAGTAAAAAAAAAAGAAAAAGAAATCTGTACTGGGCTAAGACAGAGGTCTGCTAATGAGTGTTCAGAGCAGCTATTCCCCAGCTGACGCCATATAGACCAGCCTGAATGTGCTTTGGGCATAAGTTGCTACGTGAGCACAACTGCTAGCAAAGCAACCTCCTGAAGCCAGTAAACAGAAGGAGGAGGAGGGGAGAGAGAAGAGAGGAGGGGGGACACCCATGTATCCATGTGAGCACTGTCTCTAACCTTCACCCTCAACAATGCACGCAGCACCCCTTGGCATTTGCATATGCTCACAAAACACATTTGGTACACAACCATGTACACTTCCAAAAAAAATCTCAAACTTGCGGCACAGTGCAGGTAAGGATGTGGACAATCTTTCAGACGACTCAAAAGTCATATAAGGACTCTAAAGAAAGACAAATTCACAGGAGTGTAAAACAACTATTCCTTACAAATACCAATAGTATATGTTAAAAAAAGTAAGGGCTACCCAAATATGAGGGGAAAGAGCAGAAAGTAAAGTGACCTTGACCCCAACTCTCACCTTTCCTACCATGTGTGAAGTAACACCTCTCCCTCCTTCTGAGCATCAGCATTATTCTGGGTCATGGCAAAATAAAACACTTGGAATTGAGGAGCAACAATCTAACAAGTCTAAAGCAGACATACAACAGTGGTGACCAAGAGCCAATCTGTGGGTCTCCTGGTTGTTAATGCAAAAGGGAAACAATATGCGTTTTTTGCATATCAAAACAGATTTGCAAATGATACCTTATTTCCTAACAGGTACATTCTGAGTTTATGTAAATCAGAAAAAAAAAAAAGCCTCATCTTAGTTACCGTGCTACTCACTGGCTTTACCCAGACGGACACTAAACTACCCATTTCCTATCTCAATTATTTTTTTCAGCTGTCATGGTGAATTCAAGTTATGATGCAATCTTTTTTTTTTTTTTTTTTTTTTTTTTCAGAATCAAGTCGTCTTGATTTTTTGCTTTCCTAAAACCACGCTGTCTGTCTTCAAGCTGGGCATTTACACCATGATTACTAAGAATAACAAATCACTTAGGACAGAGACACATATAATGTGAAAGTTTTGCGGTCTTCAGGCTGAAATCCAATCTGGGCTCCTGTTCTCTTTCCCTAGCAAAATAACTTTGAGACGCTCGCTCAGTTTGGAACTAGAAGCTATCCTTCAAGCAACGACCGGAAAAAAAAAAAAAAAGCCAAGATCGAGGGATTCAGAATAGTGTTGAGTCCCAGGGTTTGAGGAGATCCCACACCTAGGCTCAGCTCGCACCTCCCACCGCCTACCACCATCACCTTTTTACCGCCCCCTGAGAAGAAGAATCGAATACAACCTCTCGCGCTTGCCTCCAAAGCCTGTATCTCGCTACAGCTGGTGCACTGGAAGTTATGAGCACAAACAGATGCTGCAGCGAAATCTGTTTCTATTGCTCAACTGTTCCAAGCATGTCTTAGTATTTTTAGCTCTTGAGGATGTTCTGGTGCGCACACAAACTGTATAGAGAGGAGCCGGGACTCAGAAGCGTGAGACAGCGATACGGGAACATGACAGCTGGGCACCTCTGGAGGAGCAGGGCCAGGACAGGGCAGGGGACAGTGCCCCGCGTCCAACCCCCAGGACAAGCAGACAGCGAGAGAGAAGGAGGGGGAGAAAACGCACACAGCAGCCCTTACCTGTTGCTGACACAGGAGCAGGGAGACATGGAGTCGAAGTGGGAGGTACAGAGGCATATAAGATCCAGTGGTTTGTAAAAGTGAGTGAGCCGAAGCAAAACACAATTCCCCAGACCCAGCTTGCCGGCGCCGGGAAGGCTGCGCGCTGGCCAGGACTCCAGTGCGCTCTGCGATATCCTGGGCTCTTTTGAGGCGGTCCACGCGATACCGGCCTACTAGCTCCGCCCCGAGCCGCTTCGGCCAATCGCAGCCCGCGAGGAGGGGAGGATGCTACACCCGCGGACGCAGAAGCTGCCAGCAAAGAGAACCTGCAGCCGCTTCCTCCTCCACCCTCTGAGCCTGTTCGGGGAGCCGGCCCGGGCCGGGGAGGAGAAAGTTGCAGCCGGGTAGGGACGGCAGCAGGTGGGAAGCGCCGCTGCTCGGCTTCTGCGGCTGCCTAATTGCAGCCTGGCCGGGGTGAGAGCTTCCTACCCGTGGCTGAGCCCACTTCCCGGTTTCTCTCGTGGGCGGCGGTTGTGCTGTGCTGTGCGTGCTCCCGGAGGGGCTTGCAAGGTGCCGGGAAGGACTGAGGGTCCACCAGGGCGCGTCTCCCTCTCCCCTGCCTGACACCCGGGGACCCCTCCACCACCCCCGCCCGCAGGACCTGCAGCTCGCTGATGAAGTGGGGGCGAAGGGCTGGACCCGTGGTTCAGTGTCAAGCAGGACTGGGACGAACGCACGCGTGGCCAGTGCTTGCTGCTTGGCAAAGCACTTGGAGAGAAAACCGAGCCCTCTAGGCGAGGCGAATCTCTGTCTCTGTCTCCGTCTCTGTCTCTGTCCCTGTTTCTCTCTCCTTCTCCTCCCTCGGTCTTTTTCTCCACCACCGCTAGGCACGCTCCGCTGATCTAAAATCAGAACAATTAGAGAGTAATGAATTCTCTGGAACAGCAACTCCTACAGAAACTGGGCTCTGCCCTCGCACCAGCGCCTCCCAGCCCTCGTTCCCAGCAACCAGACGAGAGCGTGTACAGCCCTAAATCTCAACTTCAGCTGGATCCTGGGGCTGAATCCTGGGTTCCAGAGATGTATACCTCGTTCAGTGTGTGCGTGTGTGTGGGGGGGTGTGCGTGTTATCTCGGAGGGGTTTCGGTGTCATGACGAAGCCGTGCTCCAAAGGGACAAGTTATATTTAGGAGTCTTTTCTTTGGCGAAGTTTGCAGTCCCTGTGTGTTTTAGTATTTCCTCAAGCGATCGCATGGGTCTTTCTAGCAGTTTACTTAGACCTCTAAAGGCCTCAGTGAGTCACCAGAGTACTTCCACAAACTAGCTGGTATTCTGGGCTGTACGGAGGGGTGGACTTCTGCGTGAAGGAGAGGTGAAACTGACCGCTGGTGTTCTGAGCATACACCCACCTCCGCGTCCCATACCCTCACGTGGCCCCTAGGAGGTGCTGGTGAAATGCGCTTAGGCTTTTCAGAGCTCTGCTCTTTGCTTGCGGAGTTACTGAGTGTGCCTTGTTTCCTAGCACCTAGCAAGACACTTCAATTAAACGGGTGTCCAATAGGTCGTGCACGTAATGTGAGAGTTCTGACGGCCCAGTGGCATCGCCGACCATCTCATTTGTGGGATTTTGCATTAGAACAAGCCCTGTTATGAACTCTCTGGCCTTGTAAGACCTTGTAAGTGGCAATACTGTCTCACACAGGGAAGTCTTCTATAAAAGATATATATATATCTTGAATTAAGCCTGTGAGGCAGATGAATGTATAAGAACCTAAAAGCCTGGTTGCATAGCAAATAGCAAGAATCAACAAATGGGGTGATATCAAATTAAAAAGTTTTTGCACAGCAAAAGAAACAACCAAGAAAGTGAAACGACAGTGAACATGGGAAAAAAAGCTTTGCCAGCTACTTCTCAGACAGGGGACTAATACCTAGAATATATAAAGAACTCAGAAAAGTTAGACTCCTCCAAATAAAAGACTCAATCCAAAAATAGACCAATGAAATGGACACTTCAAAGAAGTACAAATGATCCATAGGTATTTGAGGAAATGTTCAACATCACTGACCATTACAGAAATGAAAATCAAAACAGCACAGTGATTCCATCTTACCCTAGAAAGAATGGGCATTATCAGGAAATGAAGCAATAACAAATACCAGCCAGGCTACAGAGGGAAAAAGATACCCTTTTCAATTGTTCATGGGAATGTAACTTAGTACAACCACTATGGCAATCAGTATGGAGGTTCCACAAAAATTAAAACTATCTATTCCATTTGACTCAGCTATTACCCTTCTAAGTATCTTCCCAAAAGAGTTAAAGATGTATTACAGAGATGGCATGCATACCCACATTCATTGCAGCACAATTCATAGTAGCTAACTCTTGGAAGCAACTTATATGTCCATCAGCAGATGAATGGGTGAAGAAATTGTGGTGTTGACACATTAGTGCAGTACTACTCTGCCCCCAAAAGATAATCTTGAGTCATTTGTGGGAAAATGGGTACACCTTGAGACCATAATGTGAAGTGAAAGAAATCAGACAGACAAAGCTAAATATTGCTTGATTTCTCTTTTATGACAAACCCAAGACACAAGTATAGAGCAAAATAAAAGACAGGTAAGCGGAAGTGGGAAGACAGAGCTCTCTCAAATGGGAAGATAGAAAGATGGAGGGAGAGGGGAAGGAAAGAGAAGGAAAACAGGAAGGAAGATGTGTTAGAGACTTGCACCAGTCCCCACAAGGAACATAAACACTATGCTCTACAAAGATGCAGTAATTAAAGACAAAGAACCCAGGCTGTATTGGAAATCTAAAAGACTCTAGATATAGACAAATTAGTTCTGTGGTACTCAAATGATACAGACTAAGAAAAGAGCTCAGTCCACTTCAAAAGCTTCCTCAGATATGTGCTGCCTTGTGGATTTCTTCTAAGGGAAAAGCTGAGGATCAGATGAATGCCTTCAAATACATTAAGGCTAAATGGGAGAAGAAAATTAATCTTTTTGATATTTTCTTTCCTAAGATTCAATTAGTGCATCTGAAGATGGCTAAAACTTTTGCAAGCCAAATGAGCTCAGAGAAGTGACATTATTTACCCCTGCAAGTGATGAACTCTGTTTAAAAATCAGTCATCAAGAAAGGGATGCAATTTTTCGGAAGCTTGGGTTGAAACTATTTTAGTTTAATATTCTAACTCAAATAAATATACCACAGGCCAAGCTAGTTTCACCTGGTAGGGGAAATCGTCACAGAAATGAGCATGAAGTTATGCTTATTATTGTTGGTAATGTAAATTTAGCCCTGAGAAGCATATAATAGGTGTGTCCCAGTCTTTATCATCAATTTCCCCTTCTCTCATGGTTTGGGTGATATGCAGCAAGTTTTACATATTTTGAAGAAGAAAGTTCATGAAAAATTAAGGAGTTTAATCAGCAGCTTCCCAGTCCAAATAGAATATCTGCCCTAATTATTGAGAGAAATACAAGGGATTATATTTCATAACTAAAACTTTGCAAATGTATGATAGAGTTACCTAGTTCCATTGTTGCATTCTAAAAAGAAAAAAATATGAAAAAGCATTTCAATTAATAAATGACTTTTTGCGAAGTTCCTATTAGGAAAGTTCTAGTGTGCCAACGCATCAGGACTCTTATAAATGTGCTTTTTTGGAGCGATGTGTAATACAGATTTCTCTAGTCAATCTATCTTTTTTGGCTGAGTCAGGCCTTATTTAGCAAAAATACCCATTAGTTTTGGACACCATTGCAGATGCGTGCTAGGATCCATCTGTGGATTAAATTTTTCCAAAAAAATGACAATTATGTTCCTACCAATTGCCTCCACAGTAACCGCCTATAATGTCAGGGCCAAATATTAGTCACAGTCTAGATGTGCAGTCAGATTGTGAATGGTTGTGTGATGCAGAAGGTGATTGCTTCATAAGGGGTTCAAATCTTTCCTTTTCATTTACATAAAGGTCAACATATATATATATATATATATATATATATATATGTAGTTTAAGTTCACTGCAGTAAGGAATGAAAATCTGACATTTGGATTTACTAGCTATTAATATCTATGTACTGATCTGCGGGGTAATAATCAAAGGTCGTAAATAATAAATCCATCTTGAAATACAGTCAGGATGATTTTGCAGTCGGCTTCTTTGAGAACAACTTATCAGTGATGATATTTTTAGGCATTTAATGTAAACTTACCTACTGGAAAATAGACTTGGCTTTAAAAATTATGTGATTTTAATGACTACTTCTGTAATGTTTACATTAAACTCAATGAGCATATTTGCCAAATAACTACTTTGGACCACAAGCTCTGCCCTCCTCCATAGCGGGGACAGGAAAGCCTACCAGAAACATTTTTTTCCCCCTTAGGAGAACTTGAGAGGACAAACAATGCACTAGGGAAATATTCAAGTGAACGAGATTTAAAATGCACAAAATTATACGATATGTATTGGTGTTAAGGAAGCTAAGAACACACCAAAAGACAAAATCGCCTCTTTGTCCAGTGAATGCCCTAAAAATGACCATTATGTCCAGAGAGTTCTACATACATGAAATTATGTATGCATACATTAGAAGCTGCTTTGAAGGATGGCATAGCCTTGCTGAATGTCTCTATTTACATAGACACCATTTGCTCCAGGCAGCAGGACTTAATTTCATAAGCTCTGTTTGCATCACATCACAGAGCTAATGCCCTCTTTGCCTGGCATGCCTGGGAATGCAATATTTTGCATAATGGCTTGCATAAATGATTGAAATTTATATGTGGAAGTTATTTGCTCTGAATTATTATACTTAAGCCACTCTGACTGATTGCTCCTGAAGCATTCAATACCTAGTTATAATAGAGCCATTTTATTTTCTCTCATACTATTACAAATTTATTTTTCATGTTTGCATCGACATACCAGTGGGGGACTTTCCAAAATGCAGTGCCATGGTTTTCTTTATATTAATGTCCTCGTTGTTTTGCATTGCACCAGATAGATAAGTCAGTCCCCATAAATGTCAGTTGAATGATAAACAAAAGGAACAGAACTTTTTACTGTAATGTGGCCTGAATAACAAAATAAAATAATTATAATAAATATGAGCTCTTCCCTTTTTACCTGCATTGCAGTCAGCTTACCAGGGTACAGTATAGATACTCCTGCTAAATTAAGAGACCCTAGTTTATTTATTTATTTATTTATTTTGGTGTTTTTCCAGTACTGGGAATCAAACTCATGACTTTGCACTTGCCAGGCAGGCGCTGTGCCACTGAGCTAAATCCCCAGCCCCAAGAGACCCTAGTTTAAACTGAAACACTTTTGCTTGTTCTTCTCTACCAGTGGGAGTCTTCACATTTTTGTTTCTGAAAAAATATGCTTTGAATCTGTCAGGCCCTCAGGAAGCTCTGATTTGTTGATTCTAATCTGCACAGGGCTGAGAAGTTA